CACTCTTCCACTTATCTTCACGATGTGGTGCTTAAATAATTAGCCACAGGGACAAAATTACCATCCTATAATTCTTTACTGTGTAATCTAGATGCTTCGTTAAGCAACCGAACAAAAGAAACATACAAGGTGTTTCAGGACTTTAGGGCATAACTGCAGGAGGTGATTTCCTAGGTCATTGTGATCAAAAAAAGTTCATATAAACATGTGTCCGATTTTGGACGGTTACGGAGTTATGACCGTTTAAAACTCAGAATAGAAGGTAATGATTACTGACAATAAACGGAACAAAATAATAAACCAGCATAATACATGATACATTTAAAGTATGAATGTAAAGTTAACTTCTTGAAATTACCTTTAATTTGAATTTATTGGTGCTTAAAGCTGATTTTCGAAAATGCCACCGCCGGCCGCAACACAGGCTGCCGCTCGGTTGTGAACCGCACCGGACATACCAACCCACCCCGCCTTAGGTACATCTCAAGTGTCGAGATAACGAGAACGCTCTGTCTGTAGCTGGCTCAAAATAGCGACCCGACAGCTGACAGACGCGGGTCACACGAGGGCGTGTACGGGAATGAAAAAACGGTCATAACTCCGTAACCGTCCATAATCGGACACATGTTTATATGAACTTTTTTGATCACAAAGACCTAGGAAATCACCTCCTGCAGTTGTGCCCTAAAGTCATGAAACACCCTGTATATTCAATTTACTCGCCGACGGAACTAGACTGAAAGGAGGAACTGGTTCTGTGCCGAGAGCTGAGACGACAATGCTTGCAGTATGAGATTCTGCGCATTCGCTATGGATATGTCCCTTCTGTGGGCAGTTGGACATTCACACGACTGAATCTTTATTCCAGCACCACGCTATAATCACACAGAGGAACACGTCCTAACATGGGTTTCATTGGTATTGCAGAGAATTCCTTTTCCTTGGATCGTTCGTTGGCTTATGATCATCTTAGAACTGGTGAATCGAATGTGAAAAGGGTCCACACGTGAGTAATCACTTGACTTATGTCAAAGGAAGGAGCTTAAGAGATAAGGCACATTGGTAATTATATGCACCACATCTTGTAACATTCAAGAACACTGTTTCCTGCCCACACAATATAGGTATATTTAAATTTCCACGTATTCGGGGTTTGCGTGACTAATAATAATGGGTTCTGGATTAGATGATTGGATTTATTGACACTTCTTTACAATTAAACTCTATTATAACATCTCACAATCGATGGCTAAGACTCGCTCCCTTCCTCAATGAACTACGAGTGTCGTTCTCTTCTGCGTTACTAACTTAGTTCTGATTTACGGCTCGGTCACTTCTTCACCTCCGCTGTCCGCGGTTAGCGCTTCTCAGCTGAACGCCCAACTTCTGAATTCTCCTACAAATTAATCTATTAAATTCACGAAATAACTGTCTTTTATAACTTCAACAGAAGCAAATAGAGGTCACCACATGTTGTTCGTTGTAGCGAAAACTAGTGAGTCGTTACCTAGCAAATGAACTTCCGCTTCTGTTGCTATTCCGGCTATCAGGCGGTGTTTACTGATCCGTTGATTAGCAAATGTCATATTTGTCACAATGTTCCTTATTTATTTCTAATTTTGTTTTATGAAGGTGCTTATTTAACAACACTGTCAATATGAAGACCATATACGGTCGTATGGTACATGACCACAGATCAGTTGGTGTAATGAGAACGGAAGCACTCGGAAAGAATCCCGCTTCAGTACCATTTCGCTTACCAGAATATTCACATGACCTGGCGCGGTATCGAACCTGGACCTCCACATATGGAATAGGGTCAGTAACTATGATTCACACAACAAGCAGCGATTATTTCCACGAATATAATTAACCGGTCAGTCCCTGTAATGGAAATGCAGTATTTTCTGTGAGATAGCAACACGATTTATGTATATAACTGAGATTATAAGCAAATATGTTTCTGAAATTTGCCGCAGGAACAGCCATTTTCTTGCAAAACTTTCTCTAAATGTAGACCGTCTGAAATAACAGTTTTGAATTCCCCACCAGCACAAATATTACAATAGCAGCGAGAGTATAGTCTTCTGGGTCGTAAAGCCGTGTAATTCGAAGAATTTTTCGCTCATTCGGAGGAATACATCGCTTCCATCTTCAGGGTCGAAGAGTATACCAAGCAAAAGACCAGCAGAAGCGATGTAATCATTGCTGAGGTTGACGATGGGGACTAAATATTTAAGTGAAGAGAAATTGGATAAAATCGATGTTGGACTTAAAACATTTTCTCGAAATCCCTTAAAGGCCTTCCGCAGGAGACCTGGATTAAAAGCTTAAAGTTTCTAGTTTACTTGTTTCCAAAAAACTTCCAGCACATGTATATTAAGTTTTACGGACGTGTCAGGAGTAGGCATAGCAACAGGGGTCATTTGCAGCACCTGCTGTAACCTGTAAAAGACTTACAAATATTAATGTTTCTGGATATTATCCTTCGTCATATTTTTTGTCTGAAACGCCGTCTGGTTTTTATTTAAAAACAGAAAGTTTCGGAGACTCGATTCTGTCTCCGTCTTCAGGTAAAACCTACCCACCTGGGCCTATTCAATAATTGTCTGGAGCCCCAAGTTTCGTGAATGTATAAGGTGTCAATAAATCCAATCAACCAATCCAAAACCCGTCTGTAGTCACCCCTACACATGCCAATATGTTAAACCTTTCAGGCGTGAAAAATAGAGCCGTGCCATAACTCAGGAAATTAGCCGGCTTCCTGGCTTCGATCCCAGATCAGGCGTTGTAAGATTTATGGTGGACAAAGTGACAATGCGGTAGGTTTTCTCCTACTACTTCAGTTTCCCCTATCATTTCTTACTCTACCGGCTGTTTCAGGCTCATTAATCACCACAAGGCGGGATAGCTCGTTCAGTATAGGGAGAAGCTACTGGCTGAACGGCCAGAGTTCGATTCTTGGCAAGGGGAAAAATTATCTCTTCTCCGAAGCACTTAGACCGGCTCTGAGGCCCATATATCCTCCTAATATGTACCGGGGGATCTTTCGTCGAAGATGAAGCTGGCCGGGTCCTGAAGCTGACCACTCGCCTGTATTTAATGCCGAGATGAAGAATGGTGGAGCCATACCTCCACCACCAGCATGTTTTCATTGCAGGGTGCTTATTTCATGACAACTTTCTTACCTGTCATTGGCACTGCATAATATTTGATGTTGGAAGCGTCTTTACATAACAAAACTGTAGAAGGAATAAGCGAGAGAAAGTAGAAAGTAGAAAGTGATTGGCGACAGTAGAAACGGACTTAGCGACGTCAAAAGAAACAATTTTTCGGAACTGAAAGTTCTCAGGTTGGGCCCACTCGACCTTATGGTATAGGTAGATCGGGGTAAAACTGAAGATTTGAGCAGTGAATAAGGTACAGTGTTTTGAAGCGGACTCTTTGTAGGTTATGAACAGGCTTAAGTTTAGCAAGGTTTTTCTGCTCATGATCAGAATTTTGATATTAACTTTTTAAGGGTTTCATCATAGTGAGCCAACTGTCTAGAAAAAATGTGAAAGCCTCGACGTCTCACAACCCTATGCGCCTCCACGGCCTATTGCAGTGATTGGTTTATCTCTTTTCATTCATTCATCAATGGCTCTACAGCCTTTTATTGGGCCGTCTGCCTTTTTTACGTCCGAATATTCCCATAACAGGTGGTGTATTAAGAAAATAAACCACAAATATATGAGGCGTAATCTTCGAGCATGTCAGCATGCTGCTTTTGAGACATACTGTAGTAGCATGTTCATCTTCCAGTGCTGAGACAATGCCCCAATTAGATAAAAAAACGTACTGTTAATTTTTTATTTATTATTTACACACGAAATATCGGCTGGTTAGTAACACAAGATAAAATAGATCATTGAAGGTCGCAGTGCAGGGGCCGGTTTTTATGGCCCACCCCTTATATACATAAGACAAGAGAAATCTCTTAATGTCTTGGTTGCAGTGATAGAAATTCAAACCTGGGCCAGGATGCCAGCTATCCTGAAGAAATTTCTTGTGGGTTTCCTCAGCCACTAGAGACAAATGCCGGGATAGTGCCTCCATTACAGTTCATCATTCACTTATCATCCTGTCATTCGACACTTTGTGTTCTGAGCTACTGACAGTCATGGGCACGACACTCAGAACGTTGGATCCATCGTCAGAGCAGCAGGTTCACACAGAACAAAAATTCTGGGGACACCCTAGTGGGCCCGGTCCACAGGCGGTCACACTGCCTGGCCCCCCATGGGCCATGTTGAGTGCTTGAAGGAACTGGCATCAGAAGGAACGGGTATGTCGGCCTCAAATTATACATCGAACATAGTTACTTGGATAAGCAACAGACCACATGCAGCAAAAGAAAGCCTCATAAATGTCACGCGAATACATCAGGAAGTTCTGGGAAGGCCTAATCGTCTACTTATCTTTTATATGACATGGCCTGCATAGAAAGCGACTCCTCCAACAGCTCTTCTATTGTTGAGTGTGTATTCGTTGTCGCGGTAAAGTTTTTTACTTAGCCGTTGCCGAGCAAATGTAAGGGGATACACATACAGACACACAAAGCGATTGGGGGGCATATATGAAGTAAGCCGTTGAGATTGGCTCATATGCTAATAGATATACATATACCAAATTTCATATAGATTGGTTCAGCTATTCAGAACTTAATAGACACAGATGGAGCACGGTGATCGCATAAGCTTTTTTTTTTCAAAATAAATAAAATATGCTAACTAATTAATCCTCGCCTAGTACATGGCGTTTAAAATTGTTCGTTGCTCATCAAAAATTTTAACATGAACCAAAACTTTGTAAAAAAGAAACTCCGTGTAACAAGCCGTGGAGGTCCATAGGTTTCTGAAATTTCGAGGTTTCGATATTCTCTAGACAATCGGCTCACAGATGGCGGTGAGGTTGTCAGCCTTACGCCCAGGAAGATTCCTGGTACTTATTTCTGTTAGAGGCTGAGTCGACCGCAGAGACATAGCGCGGCTGGAAGGATTAAGTCAGTTGAAAACTTCAGTGAAAAATCGGCAATCGAAGCCGCGACGTTCCGGCTTATAGCACAGTGCCTCAACCAGCTACACAACCGCGTGCCCCGTTCCAGAGACAGATGATATTTTATTGTCTTCATAAGCCTTTTCTTCGGCGTCACAGTTGCTTTGTAAGTAGGATTAAAAATTCTCAGGGCAGCGATTATGAACAATTCTATCTTCTGGGCTATAAACCTGGTTTCCTGCTCCGCTTATTTTGCGACCGTAAAGATGGCGGTTAGTTTTTTTGTTTGGATTATTCTTCGATTCTGAAGATTAAGGCGATATGTTCATTCTAAATTTCCGTTGATTTTCAACAGAATGCATGGCGTCAAATCCCAGAAAATAGGACTGTTACTAGACGTAAAACTTATTAACGAGCATTGTTTAAGTATTAATGTATATGTTGTTAATTATAAAATACCAAGGAGGCAGTGAAACAAGAATTTTAAATTATGTTATTTAATATTGTACTTAATTTAATAAATAGCTTGAAGAGGATAGTTACTCACGTTTCTTGTACTTAGGTTTGAATCTCGTTGTCTTCCTGTGGTCATGAATGGCGCCAGTACAGTGTGGAAGCCAACCACAACGCAACTCCTGGTCGGCAGGCAGGACGAAGCAAGCGCTGGCCAGTCAGCGCGGACCACGGCAGCGGCCGCCGCTAGCGACAGAGGATATGGATGCGGATCTCCGACGCGCTAGTTAAACTAGACGGCGGTCAAGCATGCGACCGTTCAAGTGATTAGACTGCCGTTGTAGCTGATGCTACTAGAAATAGGGCATGGTCTGCTGTAATGGGCCTGGACTGACAGAGGCCTTGTATATATTGTACATAATATTAAATACTAACTGTAAACTTATAAATGATTGTACATACTGACAATGGACTAATACTACCGACTATGACTGACTATTGACAGACTCGAACTCTCGTCACAGAGGGCGCCACACATGAACAGGACAGTAACTTTCAAGCAAGAGAAACATCTGGTCATGAGTCCCAGCCGGGTTTGTAGGAAGCCCCAGCCGATACATGAGAATGTCGGCAGAAATTGTGCAAAATTGTGGAACTCTAGATCAGAAAGATGCATCTACATTTGCTAACTTTGACAATACAGCTTCAAATCTTTAATGTTGACATCAAGCATGTGATCACGTGGTCAATCATCACTTCTATCTTGATGCGTTTATGCCACTTTCTCGCGTCCCGTCTTTTGCCGTTTTAGGGTCTTCTTTCGTCAGGTGACAGCAGCATCGACGAGTTCAACGTCATATTCCTCATCTCAGCTTCTCACTCAGATCTGTATTGAGGCTCATGTACGTGCTTCCATGACCCTAATTAGAGTGGGACCGCTGTTCGGTTGTCACAAATGTACCAGAGGGGCCAGGAGGAGGCAGGCATGTGCACAGCACACAGCCCTGTGGAGAGTTCCGTGAGTTCCTTGTAGCTTACTTGGCATATTTCAGCACGATTATGAAGGGCATTCAGTAAAACAGGAAATATATAAAAAGGTAGGGAAGTTTCACATTGCAACAGAATCTCAGTTGCAGGATTCAGCGCAGCAGGTGTAAGAATACACGAGAAGTCCAGTTCGGGTAAGGAGAGAGCTTATCACAGCTTGTAGTAGCTCATTTGCTTCTGCCCGACGGAAAGAAGTCCATATTGTGAATGAACGCCTCCAGTTCTTAAAATGAATATGCTTCAGTCAGTGGGCAGTGCCCAACATTTCCCTTTGGACCAAAGTATTACAGAATCAGAGGCATGCTGATCGGATCACTGAAACGGAATTTGTTGGATATCAACAGAATTTCGGTTTGTTTAACTTTGAGTCCGTCACAATAGGCCTTTATCTGGGGAATTGTTTAGAAACGAGAGGCGTACGTCCACTTTACACCTCATCTTACCATTCGTGCTACATTATCTCACACCTCATCCTCATGCACTTAATCACTCAAATACCATTTCACAAACAGACATCATCATGCTCACCATAATCAATATTTCCAACCACACTCTCACTCATGGAACTGACCTCTTCTTGAGAAACCGACAATTGTGCAGCTCCTCAGGAATTTCCCAGAATTTCATGGAACCCGAAGGTTCATTACCGTGTTCACAAGAGATGTCCACTGCTCCCAATCATCAGTCAGATAAATCCAGTTCATACCACCGCATCCTGTATCTTAATGATCCATTTTGATATTATAATTCCACCAATGTTTTGTTCTTCATAGTGGTCTCTTTCCTTCTGGCTTTCCTACCGAAATCTATTTGAATTCCTCTTATCCCCATACGTGCTACATGTCCTGCCCACCTCATCCTCCTTGACTTGATCATTCTAATTATACTTGGAGAAGATTACAATTTAAGAAACTCCTCATTATGCAGTTTTTTCCAACCTCCCGTCACTTCATATCTCTTCGGTCCAAATATTCCCCTCCACACCTCGTTATCAAACATCCTCAGTCTATGTCCCTCCCTTAAAGTAAGAGACCAAGTTTCACACTCATACCGAACGAAAGGCGAAATTATATTTTTATATATTCTAATTTTTATATTTTAGAGAGCAGACGAGAGCACAAAAGGTTCTGGACTGAATGGTAGCAAGCATTACCCGAGTTCAGTCTCCTCGTAATTTCCTCCTGAATCAAGTTTCGATCTGTTATCGTTGTTCCCAAATATCTGAAATGTTCCACATTTTCAAAACATCTGTTTCATCTTTTTATGTCGTGATTCTTCTCTGCATTCTGGTGACAGGACCTAACATATACGTGTATTTAGTTTTCTATATGTTTACGTCCTTACTAGCGTCAATTAAAATTTGTGTTTTTTTCTTCATGATATCTAAGTTATCATCCAGTAGATTTACAACATCAGCAAAAAACAACAGCTGATGTGTCCCGTTTAATTTAAGTCCAACCTCGGTTTCCTCTACCATCCTAATGGCATATTCTAAGGCAAAGTTGAAAAGCATTGGTTTTAAAGCATCTCCTTTTCTTTGACCATACTGGATAGAGGATTTATCAGACATATGTTTACTTGTACGGACTTTATTATACGTTTCGTTTAAACACATTTTAATCAACCTAACCAGTTAATGTTTACCCCAAACTATCAGAATGTTGTACAATACTTCTCTACTTACTGAATCATAGGCTTTCTTGAAATGTACTGTAATCCCATTTTTTTCAACTATCTGAAGAATGCAAAATATGTGATCAGTAGTAGATCTGTTATGTGGAAACCCACACTGATGATCCTAAATAATTTAACGTATATATGGACTTAATCATAGGAGAATAATATTGAAAAAATTTTGTATGAAGTTGATAGCTGTGATATCCCCCGATAATGACTACATTCAGTTTAATCACCCTTCTTATGAACTGGTATAGTAATAGACTCCTTCCACTGATCAGGCAATTCTTCCTTATTCCGAACAGAATCAATTAGCTTATGGATCGTAGAACGTAATATTTCGCATCCTGCTTGAATAAGTTCTGCCGGAATTTGATTTCTACCTGACCATTTATAACTCTTCAAACGGCTCAGCTGTATGAATTAGGCCCAACAACAGAGCACATGCTTATCAGTAAATAAGTTACCTCAGATGAAACCGTCATTCATCGACAGTTATTAATATACAATTTTACTTTCGCTGAATGAAAAGCCTACCAGAAGGTAGCAAGTTATCTGTAGGTTTGGCCGCGCCATAGCTCAAGCGGTTAGTCGCTGGCTTCCCACCACGGCGGCCCGGGTTCAATCCCGGGTCTGTTCAAGTGTGATTTGTTGTGGACAAAGTGACGCTGGGGCAGGTTTTCTCCGAGTACTTAGGTTTCCCCTGTCATTCTTCATTCCATCAACTGCTCCACAGTCACCCTCACCAATAATCTGGGTAAGGTAAATAGGCCAGAAGTGGCCGCAGTACAAGGGAATTAGTGCCACCCCACTAGCAATAAAGATAAAAGTAAAAAGAACTGTAGGTTGAACTGCAGGAGAATATAGAACGACCAATGTGAGAAGGAATTCAGTGCTCTAACAGAGAGGATGCTTAGGTAGGCTTAGTTCTCTGGTTGATTTAACTGCATAATGATATTAGGAACGAAATCTTTAACTTCATAAGTAATATCTGAATTCTTCTTAAACAGAAGGACGATTTTCAAACAGCTTTACAACAATACACATCAGGAAGTGTATAGTATAAAACGGATAGTTTTCTATATAACTATGGAAGTAGACGGAAGTTATTTCCATATATGGTGTTCTGAATCTTCTTGCAATTACACTAAAAGGAGAGGTTGAATGCACGTGTAAGCAATCCTGCTTTCCATGAATGAATATTGATGGAATGAAATGAGATTGGAAGATGTTTAAAAAATTCCATAAATATTGTGAAATGTAATAAAAAATTCAACTTAATAGAAACAATTATATGCAGACAAAAGCATGGAGGGTAAAACACGTGGTCTTGCCTTCCACCAGTAGCGATAATTTCAGAACAATTTTCTACATATACTAATTACTCAACAAATTAAAGAGAGGAGATAACAAAAAAATAATAATGAACGTTCGCACAAGAAATCTTCGGTAACTTATGTTCCATCAATATTTCTTTCAACGTGCAATAGCCGAAATATAAGATATCAACAAATCTAGCCCTTCATGATAAAGTCCCCCCACCCCTAGGGGAACTCGTGCTTTCCAAAGTCTCGCCGGTTTCATTGCGTCTACAGCGCACAGGACTGCACTGAGTACTACAAGTTATTCATTTCCTCCACCGAGTTCCGAATTCTGTCCTCAGCTCCGTGTTTGCAAACATGTCCGCTCTATGCACTTCTCGTAATGTCAGAGAAAAGTGATGTGCTGTTGGGGACAGAGCAGTGAACATTTGGGATTTCATAAAGTTCTGCAAATTCCTTGAGTTTCACTACTGAGTTTCACGCAATTCTTGGGTCCATTAGTTCGATGTGCAAATGAGCACGCCCATATTCAGTAGCCTGTAAATTAAACTATGCGGAAAATAATATATCTGCTTTACACTTCCTTAACAAGAGTATTAAATGGTAATGAGTTTCTGGGATGCAGAAAGCTCAGAAAGCAACTTTACGGTTGAATCGCATTCTTTCCTTAATGAACGTAAGGGATATTTTCAGGATTAATTTCTTTCAATATTTATACACTCGTATACACATACAAATTCTCATATTCATTTTGACATTTTATTCAAGACAAGAATTTCCCTCCTCTGAAGGTAATTTCGTTCCCATTTCCATCCGCCGCTTGTACCTCCGTTCGGTGGGACCAGTGTTCACTCTCAGTCGGTGGAGGAACGGCCTATGGTACACATCAGTCAGAGGTGAGGTCGATAGAATAATTTACTCGGTACTTGTGTAGAGGGACAGGACTTTCAGAGATCGTTCATGTTAGGAAAGAGCATTTCACAACTTGCATAAACTGTCCGATGGATCATATATTTATATGTAAATGTACAGTATATTAAATAGAGAATTTTAAAAATGTAGAAGATCAATAATACGGTCAACATCGGTATCTGCTGCACATGGGGCATGTACATGTACATTTTCACAATACACTAGGGCATACTGTGCAATGAAGTTATGGTCAGAGCGTGAACAGTTTTGGCACATTTTAAAAGCTATCGCAAAATCACGTAAGAGGTTTCAGAAATTTAAAGATAATTACTTATTATAAACTGTTATTCGAATGTGACTTCGTCCCTGTAAACTTTCTAACGACAGATATATTTTGCTTAGCAATGGATATGCGGGATATTATTAACAGTGTGTTGGAAGAAAAATGGAATTTTCAATATCTGATTTCTCAAATATGTACCACAAAGAAACTTGTGATTCTTTTCTTCATTTTTTAAGTGTTCAAATGAATGAGGGCACATTCAATAGCCTGTCAATTAAAATGTGCCGAAAATCGTATATCTGCTCTCTCCCTTGTTAAGAAGAGTATTAAATGGTGTTCAGTTCCTGGGGAAGTCGAGACTATTTTCAGAGCTTGCTGCTGAGAAACAACTTTACGGTTGAAACACATAATTTAGCGAATGGATGACATTTTCATGATCATTTAATTTCAGTAATTATATATACATATATTCATGTATTTGTGTTAACATTCTATTATAGACAAGAACGTTCCTGCTCTGAAAGGAATTTCGTTCGCATTGCCATCCGCCCGTTTGTACAACTATTCCGTGGGACAAGTGTTCACTGCCCGTCACTGGAGAAATAGGGTAAAATACACATCAACCAGAGGTAAGCTGCTTCTATTGAGGGACAGCTCTTCAGAGATGCTTCGTGTTAGGAAAGAGCATTACATAACTTACATAAACTATACGCATGTACATATACATATATGTGAATGTACAGTAAATTAAACAGAGAACCACACAAATACAGATGATTAATAGTGCGTTCAGTACCGGATATGAGCTGCAATTGGGAATATATTTACAGTATAATTGCCTTAGACAGAGCTCAGATAGGCGATAGTCAATGGATGAATATTTTTGGCTTATTTTAAAAAGTTTTGCAAAAATCACGTAAAATGATATAGAAATACGTGTATATTAATTTTTTTGTAATAAAACTATATATATTTGCCTCTCTTTCCTTTTGTTTTACGGAGGAAAATTTTTGCTTAAAACGCTTACATAAGATAAGTTTAACTTTGGTGTACGAGTTACCTTGCGATGTGACAATAACCTTTTTCTCGAAGAAACAATCTTTCTTCCCGCGAATATATCTGACTGGTGTATCTACCCCATTTGCTTCGGCCCTATAAAAAAGAAACCTGCAACTATTGAGGGTAACCCCTTCATGCTGTTTAACGAGTCCAACACTGCATTCTTACACACACTGAAAAATTTTGTTTTTTGATGTGAAACTTGTGGCAGCTTTATATATGAGAGTAAGAAATTGTTCAGTGTCTCAAGGTGTACTTTGGGTTCAGTCCAAATTCAACTGGGTAATGTTTTTTTTTTTTCGACCCGCAGCGCTGTTCATCAGCATTAGTGGGGCTACCGTATAGGAATTTTTCTATTGACCCCGACTAGACGGACACAAACTGTTTGGGTCTGCCCTCTGTTCCTCTATGCAGATACAGGTGTAATAGCGCAGGTTTCAGCGTGACCCCTACCTACACCATCTCTGACGAACGAAATTAGAATGTTGCGCTTCTAAGACTGATCAGTGGTGTAGAGTCTCTTGTCCTCAGTAAGATGAAAAATTGGTGTGGTCTAAACAGAACTTGGCATTCAAAAGTATTCCTGCTCACAGAAGACCCCACTTAAAACGTCTTCTACTTCTTTTAACATAGCAGGCTACCTCATGCAATATAGTCAGATAATCTTCTCTTCTCTCTGAATTAATGAAATGTTAGGCAGAAAAAAAAAACTGCCGCCCGATAATTAGCCCCGAAATAGTTTTGATAATATACTTAGCAACATTTCGTAAACTCCCCGAATGAACTCTACAAACTGAATTAAGAAAAGCTCTTCTGTGTGGGGTCAATGCCCTCACGGAGTGGCAGAAAGAGTATTATTCGTATCACATCCTTGCTGAAGCTTTAGTGCACCAAACCCTATGTGAATTTGGTGTTGCTTCATTTCTCCTCTAATTCTGTTCTTCCTTCCTACTTTCTCCCTCTTCTTAATTTTCAACGCTGTAATTGTGTTGAGTAAATTCCTTTCAAAACATCGGTGAAAATGGAGAACGTCCAGTTGCACATCAGGAAATATGTATACTTCAACTTCAAAATGGAAACCTGCTCAGTTAATCGCGTTTCAAAAATTTCGCACCCTCACATGCAGGTACATTTATGAATATATACACAAATATCTCCCTAAGGCCCCCCATACACACACAGTTTGGCCTTCCCATCAACCTTACAGACAAAACTTTCACAGTTTACCCCCTCCCTTTCCTTCCCCATACACTGGCAGGCTTCATGTCACAATCACGGTCTTCCAGCCTATAATGCTGAGTCACACACGTCACGTGCTACGGTCCTGCAGGTAGAACTGACGGGTTTCCCACAGGCCAACAGTCCAAACGGCCGGCCGGCCGGCCGCACCACACACAAGTTTGCTGTGATGAAAACAACACCGCAAGCCACGAACAAACCGTAGACGACATCAAAAACCTCCTCATCAAGATAGACAGGCGGCACAAAATCTGCCCCATACAAGAAGGACGATAGGAGTATGAACACGAACCTACGTGGTTTAAACAAATTTTAACTAGTGAAAATAAAGGTTTTTTAAATTAACATCTAGAAACTTTTAAAAACTTTACGATACCAAGAAGCAGCTGTGATTGTGAAATGTTCGACTTTATGCGTACTGTGCATTATATGATATAACTGTATGTATTTTAAATCAAAACACCTATTGTGATGGTAGTTTCCAGTTCGTAATGATGTTCCCTCTGAAGATGGTCCGTAAGGACCTAAACATGTAAGGGAGATAAATTTTCATGTAGTAAAAACTTATATGTCGCACTGGACGGAGTGGTTTGTATTTATATCAGTTTTGCCTTTCAGTCTTCAACTGTGCAGGCCGAACTGGAGGCCAAACTGTGTGTGTGTATGGGGGCCCTAAGGAGTAGAATTTCCGTTCTTAATATTAGAGAGGTTAGGCCGAAGCTGAAATGTAAATCGCTGTACCAGTCATACCAGAATCTTGAAACATATGAAAACACAGTTAACTGAATTTAAATTTGATTTCAGGTGACATATATCAGCATGCCCCAGCGGAAGCAACCCAGGACTCTGAGTGACATGAGTGTAGAGGCGTACGTCAACATTTATTATAATGTATGCAATAGATGGAATTTGGATTTGTATAATGCAATCCAGAGATGCAGGAGACATTACCGGTATGTGAAATGGAGAGTGATGACTGAAATCGAACAAACCGAACAGACTATATCAAAGTTGGCGCCATTGATTCAAAGTAAAATCTGTCCCAAGTTAGCGTCTATCTTTGCCAACAATATCACATTTCATTTCCAGAGAAATGAATGTGTTAAAAGGCACAGAATTTTTTATGAAGAAAGTCACGATGAATTGTGCGTTGCCATGTTTCGTTCCGTCCTAACGCCTTCCCTGTATGAATTTGAGCCTGATATGTTTTCTTATATTTTTACATGGTTTCTTGTAATTCGAAATCTGGACAGTGTACCTGGGTTAAGAATATTGTCTATGAATCAAACAGGGGATATAATTAGATCATTGTCTTTGAGTCGAAGAATAATTAAGGTCTCGGCGCTAGTGGCCACGTCCCTCCATCAACTTAAGGAGTTACAGGTGTTTCGTTTTCCGGGGTACTGCACTGACGAAGTGGTAAGGGAACTGGGACTGAACTGTCCCAAACTGACTGAAGTTTCATTCATTAATTCTCAAGGGGTAACCAATGCCAGTTATCCCCACTTACTGAGCCTCCGTAAATTACAATTTTTAGATATTACTGGGACACGAATTAACAATTTTCACTATGGGCAGTTACTCTCCAGATTACCGAACATTGCAGACGTCCGATTCATAAATAAAGAAGATGATCTTATAAGACTTATTGCTCCGAACACCATCGACACGATAACGCATGTCACCAATATTGTTACTGATACCAATATGCAAATACAGAAGTTCCCCAAAACACAAAAATTCATACTGAAAACACCAAACGTAGATCTGTCAGCACTTACAGCTTGGACCGAATTGCACACCTTGGAAATTTTACTTGGTGACTATCGTAAAATTAATCTGAACGCCGTCCTAATGGGTATAGGTCACCAACTTACCGTTCTGATACTGAAAAGGATCACGCGTCTAAATCTTCTGGATATCATAACGCTGTGCAAGTCATTGAGAAATCTGGATCTGTATTCCTGCTTAATTTTACCAGTAAAGGCAGCTACACCACTCAACCTACAGTTACCACATTTCAGGAACTTAATTTATTTAAAAATAAAAACATCAGTCCAAGATCGAACAGATTTCAGTTTTATCAGATACTACCTTAATCTTGAAAGAATTGAGTTGCTTGGGATTGACATCTTCACGGAAGAATTCATGGAGGAAGTTATAAACCTGGGTACACTTGCAAACTTAAAGGAGTGTTATATAAGCGAAACTGACAAGGGAGCTCTGACCTTAAACGTTCTTGAGCAGCTCATTCACCATTGTCCAAATTTGAAAATATTTGGACATACGAAAAAATTAGGTCTTCTTAATTCAGAAAATGTCCTGCGACTGAAGCGTGAATTATCAGAGCAAAATTTTGATATTGACATTATCTCATAACACAAGGACCCTTCTGCATTTTATGAAATGACATGGTTTTGAGTAACGCGACTTCTTTTAATATGGAAGTCCAGGAATGTTATATATTTCATATTACTGTGTGGCATATTTAAAGACATTTTACTTGTATGTGTTTTATGTGTTCTTAATTTATTTCTGTTTACATATTATTATTCCGAGAGAAGTAGAACCAGACAGAACGTACTTTTCATTATATAAATTCAGTGAGTTGTGGGTCTCCAATTTCTCAATCCTGCATCTTATTGAATAAATAAAATCTCTTTTATAATTACAATTGCGTTTGTTGACAAGAAATTGAAAGAATTTCGGTCTTTCAGTTAACCCTAATACTTACAGCTACAGAAGTAGCTAAGCAGTTTCAAGAACGCCAAATATTTAGTTATGCTTACCTGCACGACAGAAGTTTTGTATGCGTCAAATGGAGACATTTGTGCATTTTGCTTTGCTGAGCAGTGGCAACCTGACGTTACTTTACATTAGTGAGTAGGAAAGCTTTGAATAAATGAAGTGCCTGCAGTCACAGAGGCCAAATTAATTATGGTGATTGTGGGACTCAATTTGTTTTCCCGGGATCTTCGGTATCCACCTCAAAACAACACGTTGTCATCGTACAGGAACATGCCAAGAAAATTGCAACAAAACACTTTAATGACCGCAATAGTAATATTCATCAGCTCTGCCTGTAATTCGTGCACTTGGAAAATTTATGGAATATGATGTGACACATGATTGTATTTTTTATCAGAATTTGACTAGACGCAAGATGTGAAATTTGAATCTATTCATGTCTAAGGTGTAACTCGTGATGTACATGTAACCCGCCCTCATGTATGAAGCTTGTAAGGATATGTTTATGCATGTATCCATTATTTTATACATTTTGTATCTTTTAATATTGCAGAAAATTCAATAAAATATATCTGATTAGATTAGTGTCTTAAATTTTATACGCTAAACAACTGACATGTTCGCTCACTTGATTTCTCAGCTTACATTTCAGCGATTTAAAAGGACTCAGCGTATTCCTCATAATTATCTGCGACTTTACAGAAAGATATGAGGCGTCGATCCCCATAACACAGAATAATCGGCATAATTGGGGGTGGAGTCCAACTGGGTCCACTCATCACGGTCGCCATTGATTGGCCTATTGTAGCTTGCGCCGAGTGATTATGATGATGGACAATTTGGTGGAATCAGGACTGGCAAGGTAAATCGAAGTACTCGGAGGAAACCCGCCTCAGCGCCACTTTGTACACCACAAATCGCACTTGGTCAGACCCAGAATTGAACCCGGGCCGCCGCGGTGGGATGCCAGCGACTAACCGCTTGAGCTATTGCGCGGCCCGATAACAGAGCATACTGTGGCACCTACACACATCTCCCTCTTAGAGAAGCTCCATTGTGGTCCTTGCGTTATGAAGCAGGAAATCAAACTACGCTGACTTAGTAAAACCTATCTCGTGCGCTGTTGTGAATTGAACGCTGAACTGCGATGTACTGACTTCAAGCGTTTCCATATATTCTCTGCACAGCGACAATACTAACAGAGCCAACGGCAGTCTATATATAAAGAGTCTATTGGACTGCTTTGAACAGAAGTGTGGTTCCTAATTGTGGGCACAATAATTGTGCAGACGAATACGCTGAGCCAGTACGTACGGGTCACATTTCTCCAGAAACGTAATCCCAGTTCTCAAGTGTCCATCGTATTCGGGCACTGCAAAGCGCGCACTCACACGCATGCGCAGTTACAGAGCAGGCTATAAATTTGGACAGGTCAAGATACATTTGGCTCCCCAACAAAACCACAAGAGCTTTGAGGCCCATAGCGACTCCTTTCTAATCGGTACCAGTGACTGTTTCGCAGATGGCGCAGACGCGAGCGGTCACACACACCAACGTGTGCCGACGATAAAATTTTGTGTAAGTTCTAATATCCTGTTTAAGATTTCAGTTACTCGTACTACGCCCAATACAGCCCATTAGATTAGATTAGATTAGATTAGATTAGATTAGGCAACAATTAGAATATATATCCAATTTAAAACGTTTAATTCCCTGTAGAGCAGAAACAAAACTCTTCACGATTTGATGTAGAGGCTTTCGTACTAGCCAACCGCAATGCTGTCATCCTTACTCAGATTCGCGATCAACGAGTTAATTGAACGCTCAGTCCGGCTTAACTTCGAAAACCATTTGCAACAAAAGCGACAAATAGTCATGTTCCATTTCTTTATACAGATACATCAAAAAATTTAATAAAAGGTTATAAAGAAATATTCCAGGACGAGACAGGATACACATAAGAAAAATATTGGTCTCTGCATTTCGCAAATGTGCACAAGATATTTTCGCCTGAGGGGAAAATTCGCGACAAATTGTTGGAATAGAAGCCAGAAACTGCAGACTGAGAGAAATAAATCTCAAGGTTCCATCACATTTCTGCATAAGCAGTACGACTTCTACATGGCGCGCTTTGACTCTGGGCGTGCGGATAAATTACTTTGGCGTTTTCAGACACGAATTGCAGACTGCGAAACAAAGAGCAACTCTACTGTCCTGCTAACTGAGCCTTGTTTCCTGGAGAAGCCGCTAACCTGTCCGCAACTCTGGTATTACTCGCACCTTATTGAGACAAGGAGTGCATTGCACTCTTCACGAGAAGTCGACATTTGACCCTGTAGATGGAAATAAAACCATTCCATACCGTCCTAAATGGCTCTTCAAATCCTGTTTAATATTATCCTCTCGTCTAGAAACGTCTTTTAAGCGGCTTTGCAACGACAGGAACATTATCCACCCCTCTCTCGGAACTACTTTGTCGACTATTGTTTTCAGCAGAGTTGAATGTAGGTGAATGTTCAGATGTCCCCCATATGTCTATGTATCTGTGTGTCTACAGTCTTTTTGTTGGACCTTCTCCGCCTCTTTCAATTATTTTATCCTATGCACAAAAGTCGGTATATGATCTGTGACGTCACTGCGCTTAACCAATCAAGCACTACACATGAAAGGCGCCCGGGGTGTGGATATACAGATCATGCACGTAAACGAATTCTTCACTCCAGCAGTAGATGAAGCCTCGACGTATGTGTATTTATGTATCTGCATACATAATAATTTTATGTTAGAGGAGTGTGACAGTTTGAGTGAGCTAATAGGACTGAGATTAATAAACGTGGTTTTCGAAATCCGGGTTGTGCAGGAAATATGTCACTCTACTTAGAACTCCCGCTCATTTCACAAGAGGAAAATAATGAGTAATTCGTGTAAGTACCGGTGTTCTCTGCCAAATCCGCCTCAGGAAAATGTAAGCAGAAAATTTATATTATTGCTTGATTGGTAAAAGTGTAGGAAGTTTTGAAAAGTCGGTAGGATGAAAATATGATGGGGTACCCAAAAGAAACCGAACTAATTTTTTTGTGGGCAGAGCTTTTGTAGTACCGCGTTTTGCCGCTATGTGCGCATAGAACTAACTAGTTCTAGACTAGTTTCGGCAGAGTTTATAGTGACAACTGTTTTGTGTGATCGTCGTTTTTGCAATGGCCCGAACACATGAAAATGTTGAAAAAATTCCTGAAATCATCAAGGAAGATCGACGACGGTTCACTGAAGAAATTGTTGAGCTGTCGGGAGTGACTTGGAGCTCAGTTCAGCGAATTTTGACAGAAGATTTGGGAATGAAAAGGGTGGCTGCGAAATTCGTGCCACGACTGCTGACTGCTGAACAAAAACAAGGTCGCGTGGAAGCATGCTGTGCTTTGAAAGAAGAGTCCCGAAATGATCAAAACTTTTTTTCAGCGTTTTGCTGATGTTGCTGAGGTGAAGGAAAAAACGACGGAGGCGCTGTCAAGCATCTCAAAAGATGAATTTAGAAATGTTTTGAAAAATGGAATAAAAGACTAGACAAGTGTATTAGTGTAAGTGGAGAGTACTTTGAAGGGGATTGAAGGTTTGTGCTTAAAATTTGAATAAATAAGTTTGAAAAAAAATAAGTTCGGTTTCTTTTGGGTACCCCCTCGTATATTTAATTTATTTCCAGTTTATTTCTCTTGGCGAAAATTATTATACAGGCACATACACATAAATTTTTGACCAAGTACTGGGGCCCTTCGGCCAGCATCATGTAATGATATCCGCTGTTAGCTACACTGCTCAGCACTTACGGCATGCACTGTCTTCGCTCGCCAGGAAGCCGGGATCGTAGGTTCGTATTACACACAAATTTGGATGTGTGGTATGTATATGCGTTTAAGTAGAGGAATTGCGACAAGGTGATCACTTGTCCAAGGAGTACTACACTCTGTAAAATGATGAAAGGAGAAAAGAACTCGACACCGTAAGGTATGAGAGGAACACTAAAACGTGCATCCTTGTTATAACGTAAGCAGTAAGGGCAAAGTTGTCCCTATGCTTAACTAATGAAACAAAACACGAACACGTATTGAGGAGCGGATGTACGGATCCACATTTCCTTGGCCTAGGCACTAACTGGACGTGAAGGCTAGCTTCACGCCCCGGCCTCTTTACCACCGGTACCCACTGGATATGAGGTTCGGTGGACCTCGAAGCCGGTCTGGACGGCGTGAATGTAAAACAGTAAAATTTGTATTTGATGAAATAAACGTATCAGCATAAAGTACAAATACTTTAAGAGCATGACTTCATAATTCAACAACTCTACCAGAGCGTGCATCAGAAGAGAACAACTGTCATTGCCTAATTCAGAACAATATACCGGAGAATCCTTTCGTCCTGCCACAGCCTAACCATATATAGCTGTCGTCTGTGGGGGGTTTTGCCCTCAGATTCAGAATAAACACCGGCAAAAGTACTTTAAGTATTTCAGTACAACTTCCCCTAGTATATTTTGATATACTCTGCCGTATTAATAAGTGATCTGACTAATTTCCTGGAGATGAGCTCTTTTGGCAAATCCGCCTGTTGTTCTGATACACAAGAAATTCCTGAATTTTACAGAACTCGAAAATTCATTACCTTATTCTAAGGTGCAGTATATAGAGCCAGAATAATCTATTTCATACCACTCCATTCAATTTAAGCAAGATCCATTTTAATATTATTCAACCCTAGAACTTCCTCCTCCGACGGGCCTTTTCCTTCTGACTTTCCCATCCAGTTCCATACGCGTTGCTTTTCTTTTGCTGCATACTGCATTGTCTTCAAATCGCATGCTCTAATTCCATACGTCGAAGAATACATGTCATGATGCTCCTGCTCATCACAGATTTCCAACCTTGTGTGATTTTATACTTCTTCGGTCCAAATATTCCCTTCGGCAACCTATACTCCAATAACGACAGCCGACAGCCTATGTGCTCCACCTAATGTCAAATACCATCATTTGTACTGTTTTTTTTTTCCTTGGAACTATAGCCCCACTGGGCCTAGGCCTACCTCCATGAACTTCTCCGTTCACTTCAGTTTTTCTTGATCTTATACATTCGGTAGGACCCCTTGGGCGGGTGATCAGTTCGTCCCAAGGTCTCTACCTGTACGCAAACACAGAAAAACGCACACAAACAAACTAAACATCCATGCCCTGAGTTGGATTCGAACCCACGATGCCGGTTTCCAAGCGAGCGAAACAGTACAAGGCTTAGACCGCTCGGCTACCGTGACCGGCATCCGTACTCATTCAAAACAAAAATAAAATTGTAGTTCTGTAATTGTAGTTATTAAATTTAAAGAACTCGAGAGATGACGAATATTTCTGAAGTTAATTATGCCTGGTATTCCTCGACTTCTGTTTGCTCAACTGTATTTTCCTCAAATAACTCGTCACTAATATCCTCCACATATATCGCGAATTTCGTTAGTCTTTTTAATGTCGTGATATTTTCTGTGCTCTGTTGGTGAGGAATCAATATCTAGTAGGGTTCATCTATGTTTATCTCTACAGCAG